GCGCCCCGGAGCGCCAGCCCTGGCCGTCAGTGCGCAGCTTGTCGAAGGGGGACTGGGCTCTCGCCCCCAAGTGGGAAAACGCACACACATAAAGCTGGGGAGACCCAGCGCCCCCGCAGTTCAGCCCTTCCTGTGGGACCAAGGCGCTGGAAACCTTGCCCCGGGGTGGGGAGGGGAGCAGCCACCCCGCCTGCTCTGCTCCCCCAAAGCGTTGGCACCTCTGATCTCCATCCATCCTGCCAGCGTGCCCCAGCCGAGTGGGGGGCCCCAGGCGGCGTGGTGGCTCCCCAGCTCCGGGCCTGGCAGGCCCGCAGGGCGCTTGTCCGGAAGCCCGATGGGTAGGCAGTGACTGCAGGCTGTTAAGCCGTGGAGCCCGGCCGTGTCCGTGTCCCGGCCGTGTCCCGGCCGTGTCCGGGCAGCCCGCTGGGCGCTGGGGCTGGAGGCTCCGCTCATGGTGCAGGACCCGGGTGGCCCAGGGCAGCGCGCCTGCGGGGCCTCGCCCTGGTGGAGGTGTCTGGGCTGTGCAGCGCCCTCCGGCCTCGGCCTCCCAGCACCCTCGCTGGTGCTGCGGGCGTCCTGCTCTGCCTGTCCTCAGTGTCCTGCGCGCAGGGCCCTGTGGTCACGTTGCGCACTCGGGTGCTTTGAAGAGCAAGTCAGGAAGCAAACATGCGTCCTGGGGTTCAGGGGCGCTGGGAGAAGGCGGGGGCACCGTGGCCCTGGCCGGGAGGGCCGCAGTTGGCTGCCGAGAACCGCTTCTGTCCACCTGAGCGCGGCAGGAGGCCGGGGTTTGCACCTTGGAGGGACACCCCCAGTCCGTCCGCAACCCCGGGTCGTCGGTGGTAGCGGGCCTGGCTCGTGGCCGGCGCGGTGCTAGCTTTGGGTGCTTTGGCCGTGAGTCTCGTTCCTGATCCGGCCGCTCCTCAGGAGCTTCTTCTAGAGTGATGATCTCGGGGCGCTGCCTCGGGCTGAGGGGCCCAGAGCGCGCTGCTCAGGGCGCTGAGGAGCCCGTGGTTCACAGGCCCTATCTGGTGTGGGTCTCAGAAGGCCCGTGCCGCCCCGTGGCACTGGCAGGTCGCGGCCACAGATTTCAGACGGAGGGGCTGCGCGTTTTTGGGGTGCGGGGGTGGGGGGACGTGCAGCTAAAGAATGCAGCGGGGCAGCGCTGCGAGCAGCTGGGTGTCTCCCGGCTGCGGACGGCTCCTGAGCAGGCCGCGGGGGGCCGGTGAGGACCCCGCGGGGCTCGGGGCTCGGCAGCC